GGGTTAGTTGGTGGCTGGAGTTAGCTGCTAGCTGGAATTATTTGGTAGCTGGAGTAAGTTGGTAGCTGGAGCTAGCTGGTAGCTGGAGTTAGTTGGTGGCTGGAGTTAGTTGGTGGCTGGAATTATTTGGTAGCTGGAGTAAGTTGGTAGCTGGAGCTAGCTGGTAGCTGGAGTTAGTTGGTGGCTGGAGTTAGTTGGTGGCTGGAATTATTTGGTGGCTGGAGTTAGTTGGTAGCTGGAGCTAGCTGGTAGCTGGGGTTAGTTGGTGGCTGGAGTTAGTTGGTGGCTGGAGTTAGTTGGTGGCTGGAGTTAGTTGGTAGCTGTGGTTAGCTGGTAGCTAGAGTTAGTTGGTAGCTGGAGTTAGTTGGTAGCTGGAGTTAGTTGGTAGCTGGGGTTAGTTGGTGGCTGGAGTTAGCTGCTAGCTGGAATTATTTGGTAGCTGGAGTTAGTTGGTAGCTGGAGTTAGCTGGTAGCTGGAGTTAGTTGGTAGCTGGAGTTAGTTGGTAGCTGGAGTTAGTTGGTAGCTGGAGTTAGATGCTAGCTGGAGCTAGCTGGTAGCTGGAGTTAGTTGGTGGCTGGAGTTAGTTGGTGGCTGGAATTATTTGGTAGCTGGAGTTAGTTGGTAGCTGGAGCTAGCTGGTAGCTGGAGTTAGTTGGTGGCTGGAGTTAGTTGGTAGCTGGGGTTAGTTGGTGGCTGGAGTTAGCTGCTAGCTGGAATTATTTGGTAGCTGGAGTAAGCTGGTAGCTGGAGCTAGCTGGTAGCTGGAGTTAGTTGGTGGCTGGAGTTAGTTGGTGGCTGGAATTATTTGGTGGCTGGAGTTAGTTGGTAGCTGGAGCTAGCTGGTAGCTGGGGTTAGTTGGTGGCTGGAGTTAGTTGGTGGCTGGAGTTAGTTGGTGGCTGGAGTTAGTTGGTAGCTGGGGTTAGTTGGTGGCTGGAGTTAGCTGCTAGCTGGAGTTAGTTGGTAGCTGGAGTTAGATGCTAGATGGAGTTAGCTGCTAGCTGGAGTTAGTTGGTAGCTGGAGTTGGTTGGTAGCTGGAGTTAGTTGGTAGCTGGAGTTGGTTGGTAGCTGGAGTTGGTTGGTAGCTGGAGTTAGTTGGTAGCTGGAGTTAGCTGCTAGATGGAGTTAGCTGCTAGCTGGAGTTAGTTGGTAGCTGGAGTTAGATGCTAGATGGAGTTAGCTGCTAGCTGGAGTTAGTTGGTAGCTGGAGTTAGATGCTAGATGGAGTTAGCTGCTAGCTGGAGTTAGTTGGTAGCTGGAGTTGGTTGGTAGCTGGAGTTAGTTGGTAGCTGGAGTTGGTTGGTAGCTGGAGTTGGTTGGTAGCTGGAGTTAGTTGGTAGCTGGAGTTGGTTGGTAGCTGGAGTTAGTTGGTAGCTGGAGTTAGTTGGTAGCTGGAGTTAGATGCTAGATGGAGTTAGCTGCTAGCTGGAGTTAGTTGGTAGCTGGGGTTAGATGCTAGATGGAGTTAGTTGGTAGCTGGAGTTAGCTGGTAGCTGGAGTTAGCTGCTAGCTGGAGTTAGTTGGTAGCTGGGGTTAGTTGGTAGCTGGAGTTAGCTGCTAGCTGGAGTTAGCCACTAGCTGGAGTTAGTTGGTAGCTGGGGTTAGTTGGTAGCTGGAGTTAGCTGGTAGCTGGAGTTAGTTGGTAGCTGGAGTTAGTTGGTAGCTGGAGTTAGCTGCTAGCTGGAGTTAGTTGGTAGCTGGGGTTAGTTGGTAGCTGGAGTTAGCTGCTAGCTGGAGTTAGTTGGTAGCTGGAGTTAGCTGGTAGCTGGAGTTAGTTGGTGGCTGGAGTTAGCTGGTAGCTGGAGTTAGTTGGTAGCTGGAGTTAGTTGGTGGCTGGAATTATTTGGTAGCTGGAGTAAGTTGGTAGCTGGAGCTAGCTGGTAGCTGGGGTTAGTTGGTGGCTGGAGTTAGTTGGTGGCTGGAATTATTTGGTAGCTGGAGTAAGTTGGTAGCTGGAGCTAGCTGGTAGCTGGAGTTAGTTGGTGGCTGGAGTTAGTTGGTGGCTGGAGTTAGTTGGTGGCTGGAGTTAGTTGGTAGCTGGAGTTAGCTGGTAGCTGGGGTTAGTTGGTGGCTGGAGTTAGTTGGTAGCTGGAGTTAGTTGGTGGCTGGAGTTAGCTGGTAGCTGGAGTTAGTTGGTAGCTGGAGCTAGATGCTAGATGGAGTTAGTTGGTAGCTGGAGTTAGCTGGTAGCTGGAGTTAGCTGGTAGCTGGAGTTAGTTGGTAGCTGGAGTTAGCTGGTAGCTGGAGTTAGTTGGTAGCTGGAGTTAGCTGGTAGCTGGGGTTAGTTGGTAGCTGGAGTTAGCTGGTAGCTGGAGTTAGTTGGTGGCTGGAGTTAGTTGGTGGCTGGAGTTAGTTGGTAGCTGGGGTTAGTTGGTGGCTGGAGTTAGCTGCTAGCTGGAGTTAGTTGGTAGCTGGAGTTAGCTGCTAGCTGGAGTTAGCTGGTAGCTGGAGTTAGATGCTAGATGGAGTTAGCTGCTAGCTGGAGTTAGTTGGTAGCTGGAGTTGGTTGGTAGCTGGAGTTAGTTGGTAGCTGGAGTTAGTTGGTAGCTGGAGTTAGCTGGTAGCTGGAGTTAGCTGCTAGCTGGAGTTAGCTGGTAGCTGGAGTTAGCTGCTAGCTGGAGTTAGCTGCTAGCTGGAGTTAGCTGCTAGCTGGAGTTAGCTGCTAGCTGGAGTTAGCTGGTAGCTGGAGTTAGCTGGTAGCTGGAGTTAGCTGGTAGCTGGAGTTAGTTGGTAGCTGGAGTTGGTTGGTAGCTGGAGTTAGTTGGTAGCTGGAGTTGGTTGGTAGCTGGAGTTAGTTGGTAGCTGGAGTTAGTTGGTAGCTGGAGTTAGCTGCTAGCTGGAGTTAGTTGGTAGCTGGAGTTAGTTGGTAGCTGGAGTTAGATGCTAGATGGAGTTAGCTGGTAGCTGGAGTTAGTTGGTAGCTGGAGTTAGTTGGTGGCTGGAATTATTTGGTAGCTGGAGTAAGTTGGTAGCTGGAGCTAGCTGGTAGCTGGAGTTATTTGGTGGCTGGAGTTAGTTGGTGGCTGGAATTATTTGGTAGCTGGAGTTAGTTGGTAGCTGGAGCTAGCTGGTAGCTGGAGTTAGTTGGTAGCTGGAGTTAGTTGGTAGCTGGAGTTAGTTGGTAGCTGGAGTTAGTTGGTAGCTGGGGTTAGCTGGTAGCTGGAGTTAGCTGGTAGCTGGAGTTAGTTGGTAGCTGGAGTTAGCTGGTAGCTGGAGTTAGTTGGTGGCTGGAGTTAGCTGGTAGCTGGAGTTAGTTGGTAGCTGGAGTTAGTTGGTAGCTGGAGTTAGCTGGTAGCTGGAGTTAGTTGGTAGCTGGAGTTAGATGGTAGCTGGAGTTAGTTGGTAGCTGGAGTTAGCTGGTAGCTGGAGTTAGTTGGTAGCTGGAGTTAGTTGCTAGATGGAGTTAGCTGGTAGCTGGAGTTAGCTGGTAGCTGGAGTTAGTTGGTGGCTGGAGTTAGTTGGTAGCTGGGGTTAGTTGGTAGCTGGAGTTAGCTGCTAGCTGGAGTTAGCCACTAGCTGGAGTTAGTTGGTAGCTGGAGTTAGCTGGTAGCTGGAGTTAGTTGGTGGCTGGAGTTAGTTGGTAGCTGGGGTTAGTTGGTAGCTGGAGTTAGCTGCTAGCTGGAGTTAGTTGGTAGCTGGAGTTAGTTGGTAGCTGGAGTTAGCTGGTAGCTGGAGTTAGCTGGTGGCTGGAGTTAGCCGGTAGCTGGGGTTAGCTGGTAGCTGGAGTTAGCTGCTAGCTGGAGTTAGCCGGTAGCTGGAGTTAGCTGGTAGCTGGAGTTAGCTGGTAGCTGGAGTTAGCTGGTAGCTGGAGTTAGTTGGTAGCTGGAGTTAGCTGGTAGCTGGAGTTAGCTGGTAGCTGGAGTTAGTTGGTAGCTGGAGTTAGTTGGTAGCTGGAGTTAGCTGCTAGATGGAGTTAGCTGCTAGCTGGAGTTAGCTGGTAGCTGGAGTTAGATGCTAGATGGAGTTAGCTGCTAGCTGGAGTTAGCTGGTAGCTGGAGTTAGCTGGTAGCTGGAGTTAGCTGGTAGCTGGAGTTAGTTGGTAGCTGGAGTTGGTTGGTAGCTGGAGTTAGTTGGTAGCTCGTATTAGCTTCCTGACCTGTTCTCAAACCAGAGAATCAGAAAGCAGAACAAGTTAATTCCAGAAATTTCAGAAACAACCCTGGTGAACTTTGAATGTATTGCTGGGTGTCGTCAGCATCGCTATGGTAACCGATGTTGTTGTTTATTCAGATGTGAGTCAGGGGGAGCATGGAGATACTGAATAGGAGGCGCCCTAAGATGGAGCCTTGGGGAACGCCACAGGGGATCCCTGTGGTTCTGATGGAAAGTTACCTGCTGACTCTAAACAGTCTCTGTTCTTCAGGAGGATTTAAACCAGTCCAGTTCTGGACCAGAAGACCGACCAGGTTCAGAAATTAGAAATATTGTCCCAGAGTGAAAATAACAGGAATAAAACCAGAAAAGTTATAAAAGCCTGAAGAGAGTGAAAGCTTAACAGAACCTGTGAAACAGACCAAATGAAAGAGCGTAGAACTACAGCTGACAGATTGGCTGCAGGCATGCAGTGTGTAGCTCTGCTGTTATGTAAGTTCCTGCAGCGGAGTGAAGGTTGCTCCACCTGGACTCTCCCTCTGCAGCTCGTTTCTGCTTTTATTAGCGTCACACCCTGACCGTCCAGGTGAAACATCACAAAGTTCTCTGCTGCGTAAGCGACACGCTCACTACGCCGCGTTTCTCCTCAGGCTGTTCTAAGGTCAGCAGGGAGGGACTGACACATCTAAACCGGGAAGAAAGTGGAACCGACTGATTTATCTTCTGTGAAACAAACAATTAAAGCTTTGAGGTGTTTCTTTGTTTGATCATTTCAGACCACGAGAGAAACTTCAGAAAGTTTTCAGGAGCCTTTCTGGCAGCTGAAGGCTCTGAATGAAGCATTGCTGATGGGTGGGTGCTTCCAGCTCCTGATCACAGGAGGCGTGACAGGAACACGTTTCGGCGCCATGGCAACCAGCGGCTGTTTGAGCAACAGTCGCCCCCCCCCCCTCTGGCTCCACGCCGGGGGCCTGATGTGCAGGAGTGACGGTTTGGTCCTCTGCAGAGCCAGAGAACCTGGACTAGATGAGCGAGTAGGTCTCCATGTTGGACCTGAAGAACTGTTTGCCATTCGCTTTACTGCTTGCCACTGTAACCAAGGCAACAAGTTTTCTAAACATTGCTCAAGCAGCTCGTCCAGTCAGGATGCTGATTGGTGGTGGGTAAAGATGCTGGCTTCACCTGCCCAGGATGATGCTGGCTCCTCAGACAGCAGCTGAATGAGGATTCAGTCTGGGTCCAAACTGATGGAGATCTTCTAGCTAAAATCAGTTCCTCCATTTTTAGAATCTATTTCCACACTGGCATCAAATAATAATTGCAAATTATACTTTGCACAAGTTATTGGTGTTGCAGTGTCTAGTATGAGGAAAAGCAGAGAGAGCAGAACGTTAGAGATTGAACTAACAGATTCTGCAGAGTGGGAGAATAGAGATAGAATGAAGCAGAATGATGAAAAAGGGGTCCCTATGTCCTCCAGCAGTCTAAGCCTATAGCAGCAGAACTATAGAGATAGCTCAGGATAACCTGAGCCACTCTAACTAGAAGCTTTATCAAAAAGGAAAGTTTTAAGCCTAGCCTTAAAAGTAGACAGGGTGTCTGCCTCACGGACTAAAACTGGTAGTTGGTTCCACAGGAGAGGAGCCTGAGAACTAAAAGATCTGCCTCCCATTCTACTTTTAGAAATTCTAGGAACCACTAGTAAACCTGCAGATTGAGAGCGAAGTGCTCTGTTAGGAACATAAGGAACAATCAGATCTCTGATATCAGATGGAGCTTGGCCATTTAAGGCTTTATATGTGAGAAGGAGGATTTTAAATTCTATTCTGGATTTAACAGGAAGCCAATGAAGAGAAGCCAGGATAGGAGAGATATGATCTCTCTTTTTCATTTTCATCAGAACTCTGGCTGCAGCATTTTGGATCAGCTGAAGGCTTTTAACTACAGTTTGTGGACTTCCTGATAGTAAAGAATTACAATAGTCCAGCCTTGAAGTAACAAATGCATGGACTAGTTTCTCAGCATCACCCCTGGACAGGAGATTGCTCATTTCTGCAATATTCCTCAGATGAAAGAAGGAAATTCTAGAAACCTCTTTGATCTGGGATTTAAATGACAGGTCCTGATCAAAAATAACACCAAGATTTTTTACTTTATTATCTGAAATCAGTTTAATCCCATCCAAATGAAGTGACTGACTAATCAGTTTCTTTTTCAGAGACTCTGGTCCAAAGACTATAACTTCTGTTTTGTCTGCATTCAGAAGCAGAAAGTTAAGAGTCATCCAGGTTTTTCTGTCTTCAGACATGCCTGTAATCTATGTAATGGGTTAGCTTCATCTGGATTATAGACAGATATAGCTGGGTATCATCAGCGTAACAGTGGAAATTAATCCCATGCTGTCTAATAATTCTACCAATTGGGAGCATGTATAAAGTAAAGAGAATTGGTCCAATATCCTCAGATATGATCTTAAATGGCTAAAGCTGTATTTACTGACTGTGATGAAAATCTGCCTTTCTAAATAATCAAAGAGAGAAAAGAGAACTGGTCCTAGTGCTGATCCCTGTGGTACTCCACGGTAACCCAGAAACAAAACCTTCCAACATGGAGCTGATTTCAGCCGTTAATGTAGGGAAAGCCTCAGGCTGGGCAGAGAAATGTCTGAAGGAGATTCAGACATAAAACTTAAGCAGAATCTTTACATCAATTATTTATTATCTGAAGAATAATATTTTATTTGAAGATTTGGACAAACGAGTAACAATTAATGAATGGTAAAGACATAAAGGGACAGCCAGGGAGAAAGGCTTAGCCTGCACTGGTTGATGTAATGTCCTCTGATGTCCTTTAATTTCCTCTGATGTCCACTAATGTCCTCTGATGTCCTATAATGTCCTCTGGTGTCCATGAACCTGATCAACTGTCTCAGGCCATCATGTCTCGTCGGGTTCAGTTTAATGAATCTTCCTTCTTTCCTTCATGAGGCAGATTTCTAGTGAGATAATCCAACTTTTGACTGAACACAAATATTCCAGATTAACAGGATTATAGAGATTTTGGATGAGATTATATTTAACAGTGTGATTGTGGGAAAAATGAGGTCTTTAGAAAAGGTTGAATCCTGGAGAAAATACAGAAATAAGAGATTATTAATAATATGACATAAATAATATAACATAGAAAAGTTCTGGCAGCACCAAAAGCAAATCTGTTTTTTTTTATTTATTTTTTTATTGTTATTCCTAATTTTCTGTGAGCATAAAAACATGGCAGAGAGAGTCTCAGAAATCCTGGATAGATTTTTTTATTTTCTATTAAAGGTTTTCTTTCTCCTCTGGATCCAAACCAAACTGGAAGCTGCAGGTTTCATTCCTCCCTACCAGTAGGTGGCGCACTCTGCTGTCAGTAACCAGGACTGCTGGTTACCAACCACTAACTGACCTTTCTAGAAGCAAAGCAGAGACTGTGGTCCTTCTGTCTCCTTCTGTCTCTAAAGTCAGACCGAATTTTTGTTTCTTTGTTGTTTTATTTGTTTTAATCTGATGAACGGAAATCAGAGAAGAAGACATTTCATCTCCTTCAAACAGCTGTTTTTATTGGAGCAGAATCCTGTCCTGTCCATGTTGCCATGGTAACCAGAAGTAACTATTTATATAATGTCGACCAATAAAAATCTAAAGAAATATATATTTTTTAATTACTACTTTTTCACTAAACTAAAACCTCTCATACATTCTGTGAATCTGTGACTTTAAAAACAAGAAATTTTCAGATTAAAAAAAAAAGTTGTAGATCTCAGACTTTTAGTCCCTCCCCTCTCCTCGCTCCCTCCCTCCCTCCAGGTGTGCGTCAGTAGGTGCAGGTGAGTTGGACCCGCCCCCCCAGCCCCTCCTGTCCGCCTGGCAGTGCAGCCTGTCAGTCAGCAGCAGAGCAGCTGAGAGGCCAGAGCAGCAGCAGGTAAGTGGCTGATGTTCCACCTGGGGGGTGGTGGTGGGGGGCTGCTGGAGTGGCTTAGAAGGACAGCAGCCAATCAGAAAGCCCCCCTGCTCACCTGCAGCAGGTGAATCCACCTCAGACTCTCAGATGTTTGGTTGAATCTGATCCTGGTTTTCAGTCCAATCAGCTGATCTTTCTAATCAGCTACTGAGGGGAAAATACAATCATTAGGTTTAATCTGAGGTTTAATCTGAGGATTATTCACCTATAAAAGTGAATAACACATAAACGTTCCGGCTGGGTGGCTGATGCCTCCTGTTTGAACAGTAAATATCAGCTTTTCCAGGACTGAGGAACATCTGATGGTCTGAGGAGGAATCAGCGTTCCTGGGATCAGAGCAGGATTCCAACTTTACGGTTAGGAGGGGCTGACGGGGGCCAACAGTAGATATGATGACAGAGGAGATTTATAGCTGCTGGTGTAGAGAGCAGAACAGCCGCTTAGAAAGTTTATTTCCTCATCGATCGATCGATTGATTGGTTTTATTGATCTCACATTGGATCAGAAAGATTCTTTTTCTCATTTGCAGTCATGTTCTCTGTATTTCCTGAAGCTGTCGTTGTGATATTGAGTCTGTTTAAGCTGAAAATGTTAAGTTTTACCAAAGCAAAAATCAGAGTAAATACTTTTTCAATGTATTGTAATTAATTAGTTATTAGTCCCGTCATTTAATGAGATTCTTGTTTTTATTTTGCTGTAACCTGCAGCATGTTTCCAGTGTTTATTCATTCATGACAGCAGAGTCACATTCCTGCTTTGTTGCCCAGCTGATGAGGCGGCCTGTTTCTAGCAGGGGTGGAGCTAGGTGGGGGGCTAGGGGTGGCCATGGCCACCCTTAGCCAATCATTGGCCACCTCTACCAGTTCTTCCTCTAATACAGACAGTGGCAGCAGTAATACTGCTACAAGTGAAATGTTCTAAGTTATTTAACATTTTAATTTTTCGTATATTATCAATCACTACACAACAAAAACACTGCAGCTAATTATGCTAATCAATATACTAACATTAAAGATGATAAATACAGAATTCCTGCTCTTTTCAGAACTAGATTGCGTCTTATATGGAGTAAAGAGAAAATTATGTCACTGCAAGTCATCTATGAAATTGGATAAATAACTACTTTGATAATAAGTAAGACTATGAGGTGCACAATAAATATTATTTAGTTTATTATAATAAACTAAATAATAATTATAATTATTTCATAATTAGCTCCAACTACATGGCTTAGAACCTCATCTTTCTTTAACAGCCAGTCGAACTCGTAATCCGATTATTTTAATGAACAGAACCTAACCAGTTTGCTCATTTTAATATTTGTGCAGAATATTTGTAGATCACCCGCAACATGCAAATTTATTGCACATACAAAAAACAAATGCATGTAATGAATAAGATGTTCGCCTCAGAACTCAAACCTGAAAGAATTTTGTTGACTACACCTTTAATTTAGGATGTTTAAATATATGCATGTATTTGTTAGCAAAGACTGAAGGAAAGTATAGTTAGTCTTTATTTAGAGAATATTGATGTTGTTTTATTTTCCTTTCGGATCTCTGTAGATTGACCCCCAGGCTCTGGCACCTATCTGTTTTTGGCCCCCCCCCCTCGGTGTACATTGGTTATTGCCTGGATACAATTATTAAAATATTCTGGCTACGCCTCTGTTCTGTAGTACTACTACAGTACTACTACAGCAGAGCCGTTTTCAGTGGGAGTTGCATAACATCGGAGCTGTTGGAAAGTCCTGCCATTGTTTCCACATGTCGCTGCGTTCGCATTAAGTCTGGCTCAGAGTAAATCCGTACAAGAACAGACGTGTGGCTGACCCTGGCGCTGAAACGGCGTCCTCTGAGACGCAATGTTCTCAGCGAGCAATCAGTCACAGGGCGAGTCTGGCTGTACTCTGGACTTTGGTTCGGAGAACTGCTCAGATGTTATCTGAGTTTCACCTGGAAGGTAAAGGTGAGACCTTCAGCCGCTCCACATGGAGGCCCAGAGCCTCAGGACAAAGAGATCATCGTCTAGACGAGCTTTCCATGGCTGGCAGGATGACAGCCTGCATGTAACTGCAAGACCTTCAAGATGCGAAATGATGATTAGTTTTTATTTATTTGCTTTTAATGCTTTTTCTCTTTTGCAATTTGGCCGCAGAGAAAAGGATCTCTGGAATCTCTGCTTGGTTGAAAGATGATATCACTATTTACACTTTCTGTAAAATCTTTAAAGATGCCAGGGCGTTAACTGCTGTCAGCTGTAATTAATCTGGGAACGTTAACATCTTACCTCTATTTTAATAGAAAACTAATCTGTTAATCAGGGAAAACCAATTAAAAATCAGCAGGATCCGAATAAAAAAACAACAACAACCAGTAAAGATCAGGAGACATTTTTAATTATAATCTGTTAATTTAAACAGAATTTAAAACTAAAATAAAATGCAGGGGTTTATGAGTTTTTTTTTAAATAAAGGTATAAAAATAGAAGGTTTTTCCATTTTAAAATCTAAATTGTTTTTGAAGTAGAGAACAAGTTTGGTTTATAGAACATTTCCTGATTCACTTTTTTGATAAAACGCCTAAACTGACCGTTTTTTATTCTGTCTTATTCCCAGACCCTGGTCTGCTAATCCGTGACCTCTGCTCTAAATGATCGATTTTAGGGAAAAACTCCAACATTTAATTAATTACTCCTGTAGTTACCTCAGGTTAAAACCTTCTGAACAAACATTTTCCTCCAAATTCAGTGAAAAGTGTTTTTTAAAACAGCTTTCCCTTCAGTTATAGCTGCAGAAGCTAGCTACATTAGCATGATGCTGGCAGGGTTGAAGCGCTGTAGTGTTTTAGTTTCTTCATTATATTTTTTAACTCTACTTGTTTTTGATATTTTGGTTAAAAGATTAATGTTTTTTTAAAACAGTTAAGGAAGTTTTGAGGTTCCATTAGTTTCACGAAACAGCTAAATCTGGCAAATCATCAAAATAAAGGCCATTATTATTTAGCAGACAAAAAACAGCAAATAAAACATTCAATATAAAGATAAAGATCATTGTACTTCACATGCTACACTACGTTATAATCATATTTGCAGTTTTAAGCTTTATTTTCTTAAAGCTTCAGACAATCAAACAAAACTAAAATAAATTTGCCAGTTAGCTTAAGTTGCTTCATTGCTAGTTTTATTGCTCTTAACAGGAGGAGGCTTAAATTTATCACTATTAAATTAGCTATTAATAGAATAATCTGAAACACTACTGCTAGGGCTATAGCTAGTGCTATGGCTAGTGCTAAAGCTAGTGCTACGACTAGTGCTACAGCTAGTGCTATAGCTAGTGCTATAGCTAGTGCTATGGATAGTGCTATAGCTATTGCTACGGCTAGAGCTATAGCTAGTGCTACGGCTAGAGCTACGGCTAGTGCTATGGCTAGTGCTATCGCTATTGCTATGGCTAGTGCTACGGCTATTGCTACAGCTGGTGTTATAGCTAGTGCTATGACTATTGCTACAGCTAGTGCTACAGCTAGTTGTACCCCAGCTGCTAATGGGGTTAGAATATGAGGTAATGGTGTGAAGCTGTTTTCCTAACTTGTGAAAATGATAGTCATGAACTAACTTTTTAAACAGGAGTGTTTTATATTAAAATACATTTTAATGATTTATTTAGAATGGTTTAGTGGTCTAAAAATGGCGTGCTGAGCAGCAGAGAACCAAATGAAGTTCCTCCTCTTTATGAGCAGCTTGAGAAACTCAGCAAGGAGGGAAGGATGAAACAGATATGCTGACAGTGTTCTTAAACATGTTTAAATTTAAAAAAAGGAATCAAATAAATCTAAATCTAATTTGAGCAAATAATGAGGGTCAGGATGTCAAACTGGTTCCAGAAAGGACCGTGTGGCTGCTGGTTTTCTTTCCAACCAAGCAGTAGGACACCAGATTCCAGTCAGTGTGCTACTGGCAGTTTGACACCAGTGGGTTAGAGGAATCTTACTGGCTGCACCAGTTTTGTATATTAGGTTTTGCTTTTATAAGGGGTTATTTTGATTACAGTAGTGGCCATTCAAAGTATCCCCACTTTTCTGCTTAGCTGTACCTTGGTTCTTCCTTAGCTGGCCCTTGGCTGGTCCTTGGTTGGTCCCCTACAACTCCTTTTGAAACATCAGTATTTGTACTAAAATATTCTTTCTGTTATGATTTGTGGACATTAAGATCTAAAGAGAAGCGCCATCTCCTGGTCAGACCCTGTAATTCAGTTAATATGTTGGGTTGATGGAGGGGATTCTGCTGGGAGTTGCAGGGAAGGTGGCTGACATTGGGCTGCTGTTTGACTGGGAAGGGCCATTTTAATGGCTGCTGCTGTAAATATAAATAAATTGAAATGCTAACCTTTTTATCAGATCAGAATCTAGCAAATTTAAAAAGTATTTTGAATGGCTGCTACTGTACATTTTCCTCCATTTTTTTTTCTTTATTGGTTTCAGCAGATTTGAGTCCATTTCCTCCATTTGTCTCCTGGTCTTTGGACATGTCTCTCACTCGTCTTCTGTCCTCTTTGTAAAAAGTCATTAGATTCTCTCTCAGTCAGTCAGCAGCCACCAGCAGTGTTTTCCTGTGTCTGCATGGAGCCTAATGGGCCTCTGCATTCTCTCCCTTCTCTTCGTCCTGGAAACTAAACCAACCAGACCAACTGGAAAACACAACTGTTCAGTCTCACACCCGCCAACGAGTCGCTCCTTTTTCTCTCCTTTTCTCTTAACGTTTTAACCAGCAGAGGTTTAAAAGCGTGTTCCACTGACCTCTTATTGCAGATATCCTCACTATACGATCATTGACCTCCTGCTTTTAGACTCGGGTTGTTTAAATAAATGGCTGCTAACTCCAAGCTAAGCTAATTCCCTGCTTTTATCCTGTGTCGGGCTTTTGATGGATGCCGTGAGCAGATCTCTGGGTATCCTGCGGT